TGCTTTGGAGCAAATAAAAGCATTATTTTCCCCCTTTTTTTTCTCCCTTCTCAACTTCTCCTCTTCTTGTTTGGGGGAATCAAATATTAAAATATATTAAAGCAAAACAAGGGAAAACTCCTGTAAGGGATCAGCTCAAGTGGTACCAGGGTCACCCGTGAAATCCTCTTAAGGGAGGAGTCCTACGGGACCTCGGGTTCGATCCCAGGGAAGGTGTCCCCTACGAGGGGAACGAACACGCAATAGGCCCCAGGGCCCAAGGCTTCCAAGCCCAATCCCTTACAACTCTGCATCTGCCCTTCACTCCAAATTTTTTGTTCTCTTCCCTCTCCTTCTGTTTACACCTAAAAATAAAAATAAAAATAGGGTAAAGTCACCTGTCAAGTTGAAACTCAATTATTAAGAAAAGTCAGCAATTTGGATTTGGGTTGGGCTAGGCTAGGTTGGATTACAGTTTAAGGGCCCAGATGGAATTTTAATGAAGCTGGATTTCACGTGACAGAAGATAAGTTGGGTTATGGTGTTTGAGTTTGATTTAAAGTAGAAAATTGAGAGTTTTTGGGAGGAGCCTATCCCCAGGGTTTTATTGAAGGTAAAATTGAACCAAAAATAGAAAACCGCCAGATAATTGCCAGACATGGAACCCCCGCTACTCGATCACGGTAGGAGAGGGCCGAGAAACATGGAGGAGGTTTCCTAGCACCGAAGAAAATAAAAACAAGAAAAAATCAATTTCAGACGGCCTGTCCTACACACACTCCCTAGAGCTTATGTTTTTCAACTTTCAGACTGCATTTTTTAGATTTTAGCATAGTTTCCAGATTAGTTTGCAAGATCTGTTCTTGTTCATAGCCTTAGTTTAGGTTTTTCCACCCTTGTTCAAATCTTTCCTCAAAGATTTTAACTTAGGTTAGTTTTTAAGCATTTGGAAGCAAATCAGCCTTGAAAACAGGTCTGCCCTGTTGATTTGGTTAGTTCTTCTTTCTCTTATGGATTCATCTATGTTATTTGTTTATGTAAATAGGTTGAATGCTTTCTGCCTTCTTTTCCTTGTGTTTGCGTAACTGTCAGACTTGCAGTTTATTTAATTTCAATTTTCAGATTTAATCTTACAAGTTTCCAGATTTTAATTATTTCGTAGATTCTCCTTCAGTTTTAGTTATCAAGTAGTTTAACTATTTTTATTTTAAATATGCAAGTGATTAGTTTAATTGTTATAGATTGCCTAGTGGAAATTGTTGTTTGTGATTTTACATTTTTTACTGTCTACGAGTTTTATTTTTGTGGCATATTATTTTTTTTTATTTATTTCATGTTAGATTAATTGCCTTAGAATTTTGTGTTAATTTTAAGATTTGTAACTTTTTCTTTTACACTTTTGTGATTGTAAAGTCCCTGAAGGCTTTCAAGGCAATTAGTAACCTATTTGGAGTTTTGTTTTGCAACATCATGTGAGGCGCAATTTATTTCACATACATTCTTTCCAACCATCCTATTGGAGGTTGACCCTTGGAAAGGATAAGAGTCGTCTGAAAAATCCTATTTTCTTGTTTTAAACAAAGCAAGTGGCACACGTTATTCCCAACTCACATGGTAAAAGCCGACTAAGGATTTATGAGGAAACACCTTCTCTCCCATTAAACCAAACAGATTATGTGGTT